CACAAACACAGTTTTTTTGGTAGTAAGGTAGTCACTGACTATTATGAATCACATGTCTAGAAATGAAATGAATTCTCATATGTTCAGATACAAACTATTATAGTTTAGACATGTACAGTCACTTTATGCCCCAGGAGATGTGCCCAAAAGTGGGACCTCATACACCACTCTGGAAACAGCAGAACCGTGTGTCAGTCTGTTAAGCCTTTTCTCTCCGTTGTGGTTGTAATGTGTGGTGAAGCAAGGTAGATGTGGGACAGAATATAACCATTACAGCAGTCCTGCCAGCAATACTTCTGTGTCTCCACTAGCATTTTAGTTCAGATCAGAAGCGTATTCTTCATGCAGATCTCTCCATCATCTCTGTTGCCTGTGTTTCATTTTGCATCAAGGGTTGATTTTGGAGTGCAGGGACTAAATTCTGTTGAGTGAAATTAAATTGGCAAATGTTCTCCAAAAGTGCACCTAACGTGCCTCAACAGACCTCAACAGACATTCAGTCCAGGAGACCTAAATGAAGCTGGTTTGAATTGAAAAAACTTGAATATGCATAGTGTGCACGTCAGATCCTCAGCATCAACTATGTGTGTAGAGCCTGGTCTACTTGGTCTACTTGACCTTACCATGCAGGTGTAACCTCACCTGATTTTTAAGAGGAGTGGAGAGGACCTACTGAAAATCAGGGTCCTAATTTTTTTCTTTCATCTTCTCCATATATGAAATGGACCAAGTGAAAATTTTGCTCTTCCATAGACTATGATCACTAGTGAATTAGTGCTTACACAGTATCACTGCAAGTGACATATCATTGTCATAAATGTACTGATAATGGTGAGGAAAAGTTATTTTTTTCTATAGCTTCTAAAATGTTTCACAACTTACATAACTGGTAAACACTTAATTTGCTGCTGAAAATGCAGCCAGTTCTGGAGTGGAACATGTCAGCTGAGTCAGCACACAAAATTACAATATAACTATAGGAAGAGAGGGGAAAAAAAAGGGGAATTTCATAAAGAATCCATGTCCCAGGTAAAAATCAGCATATTGCAACCCAAACTGGATTTGGACTAGCATTTGCCTCTGCTTTTATAAGATACAATGTGATTTTTAAGTACTCAGGATCCTCCAAGCTACATTTAATTGGGGAATATAGTATGGAAATGCTGTAGCTCAGTAAACTGAGACAGGGGCAGAAGTCCGAGAGAAAAATGGTTTCTACAGTAGAGCAAAAAGAGTACTCATAGCATCCGTTATATTTTTCCTGTCTGCATTTCTAAAAGGAAAGGCATTTGAGATACTGGTTAATGTAAGGACTTACATTGATAAGTAAATGTTAAGCAGTGTTTGGAGAAACTGGGATGTTAATTAGTTACAGAAAAATATGCTGCATTTTCAACAGTTCATACTAGAACTTTTTACCTTAACCAGAAGCAAACAGGAAGCAAAATTCAATACCACCACTGACTGGGATTTGATTCAACTAGGACAGAAAAGACTGTAGTAAAAAAAAAAAAAAAAAAAAAAAATTAAAACCCCTCTTTCCTTCCTGGAATAGGAAATGTAAAAATATGAATAGTCTACTTCCAAATCCTGCTAAAAGAGGTGAAAATATCTAATTTCTTTGCCAAAAAAAGGCTCCACCTTGGTTTTGAAAAGGCAAGTATAATGACTTAACCAATTTAAGATACGAATATTCAGCATATTAAAAAAGCTCTTTCTGATGTGACACTGAAAACACTAAAGCACACAGAGATCCTAACTACCTTGATTTTCAAGACAGCTATCACAAGTTCCAAACCAGTATCAATCAATTAAATCAATCTGTGAACTACGAACCGCTATTGATCCATACAGTGTGAGAGTACAGGCAATGGAATACTTGTTGCCTTCTGACTGTTGAAAGCCAGTGAGCAGTATCTGTACTTCGGTTAAAATGTCTATGATTTTAACATACAATTTAATTTTTCCAAAATCACAGCATGCCCTGGGTTGAGGGAGTGGTGGAGTTTTTTGGTAGCAGGGGAGGGGGCTATAGGGGCAACCCTCTGGGAGAAGCTTCTCAGAGCTCCCCTGGCTCCAAGTCAGCTCCACCTCTGCACCAAAACTGAGCCCAAGTCAGCTGCGCCTCTGCGATAACGTATTTAAGAAGGGACGTGGTGACGGGCAGTGGGACTGGTGAGGAGGAGTTGCTGCAGCTGCATGAACACCAAGGTCAGTGGAGGAACGGAGGAAGAAAGGAGGGGGGAGGTGTGCCGGAGCAGAGACCCCCCTGTATCCTGTGGGGAGACGGCAGGGCGGCCCCCACTGCCACCCATGGAGGGATACGGTGGAGCAGACATTGATTTATGGCCTGTGGCTTCTGCCTTGTTGATCAAGGTGCTGTGCCCGAAGAAGGCCAGGGTCTCATGGGAAAAGGCAGCCCTGCTGCTGTAATTCAGTGCTGGGAGGATTGCAGCATGTGGGGGAGTCCCACGCTGGAGCAGCTCGGGAAAAAGTTTGTGGAGGACTGTCTCCTGTGAGAGGGGGACCACGATGGAGCAGGGGGAAGAAGTTCCAGAAGCTCCCCCCACCGCAGATGGCAGAAGTGGCAGCCCTGACTGCACCCCCCATTCCCTGCCCCTGCGCCCCTGGGGGAGGAGGTAGAGATATCGGGAGCAGAGCTGAGCCCGGGAAGAAGGGAGGGGTGGGGGGAAGGTGTTCTCAAGATGTGGCAATGCTTCTCACTGTCTTATTCTGTTAAGTGTTGTTTGTGTCTGTAATAAATGTATGTTCTGGTTTTTTTCTTCCCCTAACGAGTCTGCCTTTTGCTCGTGCCCCTAAAGGGTGAATTTTTTCCCCATTCCAGTCCTATCTTGAACCCCAAGCCTGGCTCTCTGTCCCTTCTCATTGCCGGAGGGGAAGGGAGAGAGAGCTGCTGCATTGTGGTTGGCTGCCAACCAGGCCTAAACCACGACACAGTATTTTATTAACCAGGTGTCAGGTGCTTTATCTATTGAGCTCCTAACTGACAAACGCTAGCAGTATATAAAATGTTCCAGGGACTCCCCACTTTTTTTTTTTTTTTCCCCTAGAAAACTATTTGGCTTGTTAATTACAAAAGGTTGAGAACCACTTTTCTTACAGCCCCGGTTTGGGCTTGGATATTGATTCTCAGTTAGAAACTTCCTGTCCCAACTCTCTCTCTTGGTCAGCTTAAAGCCACAGTTGTTTGAAAAATGGATGCCTTAGTTTTTCATACGTTGAAGAGAAGCTTCATGTTCCAAAGACTCACTAATCCAAACAGGTAAGCCTCAAATACTGCACAGTTCAGACTCCAGGCATCTAGAAGTGGGAGCCTCAGAGTCCAAAAATCTCCTTCTGCTGGAGTCATGAGAATCGCTATGTTTGGATAACCATTCCCATTTCTCAACATAAGGAGGCAGGAGAGGAGTTTTGAATTTTTTAGGTCTGATGCGTGGTCAGCAACTTGACTAAAACAGCAGCCACATTTGGGGGGACTTGAACAGATGAACCTCTTTCAGAATGCTCAGGCCAACTCTCCTCCCATCTAGAGCAGGGAGGTTTCTTCCAGAATACTTTCTTGGTTGCATCCAGCAGCCTGCGCTCACCTCCTTCTGCAAATACAATCCACATGATTAGCTGGAACTGAGTCAACACCCCCAGACTAGGGCACAGGATACAGGAGGATTTTCTTGCGAGTTGGGTTTCCTGGAGGGAAGTCCAGCTAAAGAGGAGGCTTACATTCCCCCCAATCTATTGTTCAGTCTGAGTTGGACCCTGGCCTTTTCTGTTTATTTATTCAGACAGCCCATCACCTTGCATACCAATCTGTATTTGCACAGTAAACACTGGAAGCTCGTTGTAGTGGTAATACTGCATTGCAGCTAGAAGAATCTGTATCTTCCTGGGTTAGCTGCTAATCTTGCTTCTTTCTGCCCCGTTTTCCCTGCTGCCAGGCTCATGCAGGACGGTAGGTGCAGTCAGTCTGTATCCTGTGCGTGCAGACTGTCTTTCCCCTGAGCAGTGCTTCATACCGCAACTTCCATCCGATGAAAAAAATACTTTAGTCAGCAAAATGCATTTTTCAAGGGTAATGAAGGTGACACAAGATTTCATGACTTAAACTTACATATTTATATCAGAGAAAGACTCTTTTTTTGGTTAGTTTTATGACAACTGTGTGTAGAGAAAGGGACGATATGGAATCAGATTATGGCTAGTTAGAATTGACTTCATTGACTTTGTAGTTCGGGCTGTGACTACGTACTTGGCAGCAACATAGCTTAACTTATGTTAACCAAGTTATTTCTCTTTACCTGCTCCCAAGAACGTGTGCCATCCTTGTGCCATGGAGTTTTCCCCAGCAAGATATCTGCCCTTCACAGACTTCGGAAAACTTAGATGTGAAAATAAATGCAAACACATCTGCAATTGTAAAGGAGTGATTGAAGTGCAGGGAGCACCTCTTGCTAGCTTTAACTTAGCTAATACAGGTAAAAACAGTGGTGGAGACAGCTGAGAGAAGTCATCTTTCCATATACTTTTCCTGCTCCTATGGTCCATCCAAGGCGTCTACTTCTGGCTACTCTTGGAGACAGAACTGAACTAAAGGGACCCATTCTGGCCATTAATGTGTTCCATTGCCTACTAACCAAACGCAAGCTGGCCAGGGTCCCTGCTAGCCTCCCTGAGCTGAGATTTATGCAATCAGACAGGTTCCATATTTCCAGCTGCTCGGAGCAATTGCACAATTAGACTAAACAAGTGTCTCTCGGCAGTAGAACTACCCATTTTTAAACAGGTTGACCATTTGCGGTGAAAATGGATCTGTCAGACAACATGTAAGTGCACTTGCCTCTCAGTTCCAAAATCCCCTGCCTGGACACCACCTCTCCCTCACCGAGCAGCCCCACGCACTGGGTCCCTGCGTGGGGCGCGTTACCCACTGCCAACAAGCACCAGAGCCTGTCGGTCTTCGCATCTGTGCCTCGTTTGGTGGATCCCCTGGCCCATGATGTAAAGCAGTGCTAGCCCAGGCTTTGCTTCACTGAAGTCTCACGAAAGCTATTTTTTTTTTCCACAGTCTGGGACTGTGCCTTTCCTTAGCTGTGACCTAGCAGATGCACTTTCTGTTGCAGAGGGAGGATGTGAGAGAGGACGCCTGCCCAGGGCACGGTACTCATGGATCCGGTGAGTAATCGTCTGGAGTAAATTACTGTTTACTTGGAATGTTTCTGCTGTTTTGAATTCACATGTTTCAGCAAGGTGTGAAAATGGTGGGGAAGGGAGTTAGGGAGAGAGAGAGGGAAGGAAAAGAGGCAGGCTGTTTTATTTGTTGATATTTTTTTTTTGGTGCACTACACACACACAGTCTTGGATTTCCTTTACGGATGGCTGAAATTCCAGTCTTGCCTACCAGAAGGATAAGTTCTACATAAAGAACAGTCTGAGAACTGGAGATGTGTCAAACCAATTTGCCCAGCTTCATATTGGTGCATCCAGGATATGACTCTCTTCCACACAAATGCAGAGCCCTAGACACAGATTCCACAGCTGGTGTTCAAACACCCGTGCTAGCTCTCTGGAGGAGAGTGTGTCTGTACACACAGCCATTTGGCCACCAGTATTGCTCGTAAGCTATATGAACATGTGCATGTAAGATTCTCTAGTTAAAGACATTTATTCTGGCAATCACAACCTGAATTCCACAAGTGCACAGGCCCTAATGTCTTGCAAAGCTTCACCCTATGCAGAAGACTGATACACAGCCTGCACCTTCATTTAAGCAGCACTTTTAGCATTTTCTATCATAGAATTATAGGATCATCAAACGGTTTGGGGTTGGAAGGGACCTTAAAGACCATCTAGTCCCACCCCCCCTGCCCCGGGCAGGGCCCCCTTCCCCCAGCCCAGGGGGCTCCCAGCCCCGTCCAACCTGGCCTTGAACCCTTCCGGGGAGGGGGCAGCCACAGCTGCTCTTTACACAACTTTATCCTTCCTCCCACTTTATGGTGCCTTTGTGGTACAAAGGTTCCATCTGACAACTATAGATAAACTAGGATCAGAGGCATCTGATAACATGGAGGAATACTCCATGAAGTCATCCTTCACTTTACCATCCACATAACTACCACAAACTGTGCATATTCTGGGTATTTACATCTTACTCTTACTCTGTATATTCAAATGCAATCCACCTTTCAAATGCCCCTATTTGCTCACCAAGCCTCTCAGCCTCCCTACTTTAGTCCTACAGCACAGCTTCACTGTATACATCACTTCTAGGCCAGAAGTCACTGACTTTCCTATGCCAGAGGAGAGTATCTATTCAAAGAGTTTAATTCCTCAAGAAAGAGGGATATAGTTACAGAGTTATAACTCACCAATTCTGCCAGTCCTTTTCTCTGTCTAGAAAAACTGAATGGCTGAGGGTTTTCTTTTCCTCACTTGAGACCCCCAGCCTTCTCCCCTAGAGCACAGCCCCATTCTTGAAAAGATAAAATAAGATGCTTCAGCTACTAAAGGCATCTTCCAGTTTGGCTCAACCTCAGCACTGCTATATCTGGAAGAAATGACCCGGCATTTACAGTGGGAGTCAAGCTCACACAAATAAATAAGCACCGAGCTGTAAACCTGCAAATTCAGCGGCGTTCTGTCCTTCCTTCCGTTATCAAGGAAGGCAGGGTCACCCTGGGAGGTGAGGATAGGTCGTCAGCAACTGTGCCAAATCAGTGGCATATGTCACACGACAACAAATGAGAAACCTGCTCTGAGGGGAAAAGGCGTGTTGGCTCATCATCCCACCAGCTGTGGGACAGCTGGGAGGGTTCAAGTCTCTCCCGCCTTCTTTCTGAATATAAATACAGGCAGGGCCACTGTGATCACTTCTGCTGAGACACATGGCTTCTTCTTGGCCCCCCAACTAAATTGTTTCTCGTGCCAGTCAGCTCAGGAGGTAAACATGTTCTTCTGCTGCATCCACACAGATCTGTTGACCTCAGATGGCTCTGTGAGCTACATCAAAGTGACGGTGCTGAATGCGTTGAGGTGTTTTAAGGAGGGAAGCCTGCTTTTTCTCACTAAGAGAGCTCTAGCCCCGACAGTGGCTTTCACTGTATTGGAGTGTGTCTGTCCCACGGAACATAGCCTGGTCAGCAAGTGAAGTGTAGGAAGTGAAAAAAAGACAAACCAAAAACCAACAGATGAATCACAGCAAGTCAGGGATGAATAAAGGAAGGCATCTTAGAAACCTCCTGTAATTACATTGGCGTGATTTGGCATCCATTCACCAACAAGACTCATCTAACACCTAGTGATTCACTTGTTTTGCCCTAAGAAAGATGTCTTATACCACGTACATACTCTTTTGGGTGTATGGCTTTGAAAGACAATATAACCCAAAGTTGTTGCCAGCAGATGGCTGATACATGAAATGTCAGACCTCTCCAAAGCTGGTAACTGAGCCACGGGTCACCTTGCCAAAATTACCTACTGTGACCCAAAATTACTGCGGTGCCCTCTTTACTGGCACAGCCTACAGACCCTGAAAGCGAGCCCCATGGAGCAGGCCCCCAGGAAGGCAGTGCTCGGGGTGGAGAAGCTCGCGGTGCTGCTTTGGGGGCTTTCCTTGCACTGAGGGCACACGCTGAGGCTCCCCCAGGCTCTTCAGCTGGCAACTCACACCACAGCGGGGCCAGCTGCCTTTCTCCAGTGCCATCAACAGAGCAGAGCCAGGGCAGGCTCCTCGCGGGGAGCAAGGGCAGTGTCATTTTTGTAACCCTTCCTGATCCAATTCGCTGTGCGGTCACACGGATATTTGGTGGCACAAGGGAGCGGCAGTGCTGGGCAGAGCTAATGGCCAAAGCCAGTGCGAGCGTGAGATGGCCTTTTTCAGTGGCAACCACAGCTAATTTTGGTGAAACTCTGATGTGAGAAACTGCAGTAACATGAAGACAGGCTGACACCTGTGGTGATAAGTAGAGAAGGACGAGCAGAGTGAGGGATGGAAAGTAAAAGCTATTGCTTTCAACGTGACAGAAGAGGGCAATGACATTTGTAGGACTGTTCTGCATAGATATGAGTGAAGATTATATTTTTGAAAGCTGGAGGAAAAGATACCACAGTAATTTTGATACGAAGTGGCTAAAGTGAAGCTGAGATATATTGCTCTCTGGATATGTAAGGATATTATTTGAAAGAAGACACACAGAAAGTATCTGCAAAATTTAGACTTTGCCTGACTATGAGGACCTAGAGAAATCAAGGTCTCAGTTAAAAACAATGTCCAAATAAATACATCTAGGCGGGGGCGGGGGGAAGGGGACATTTCTAGCACAGTATAGGAAACTGGTAAAGGAAGAGATAGGACTGGAGTTGAAAGTACAACCAGGCACTGGTAGTTAAACTGGTTTTGTGTATGTGACATTACTTGGAGACAAGATGAAGGAGAAGAAAAGTGACCAAAAGAAAAAGCCCTCCCTTAGGAAGCTGAAGGAGGATACAGTGATGAAGCAATTAAGGGGGGTGGAAGAAACCCCAAGAGGACCATCAAGGAAAACAAAAGGCAGAAGGACAGCTATGTGTTTCAAAAACGGCTGATGCGTCAGAGAAGATGGAACTCCTCTGAGGATTGACTGAAACATGGTATTTAGAAAATGTGATATACCACATCTATACCTCTGATGCCTAAGGTATAGAAACTAGATTGGAGAGGGTTTAGGATGGGTGTGTAGGATTCCAAGTAATGAATTTAAACATTCAGTTTACTGACCTTGGGGATGAAAGGCAAGAGGGAGATGGAGCGGATGGAGATGATGGAGAGATAAATGAATTCAGGAGTGGGACGGGAAGAATTAAAGCAGGCAGATGGAAAGAAGGGTCTGTTCTGCTTGCTTGTGTGCTTTGGAAATTTATATTACGGCTTCTAGCAGAGGTCAATATAAGGAAGACTGGTTGCCACTGCCTTTGCCTGATCATCATTCGTGGTGTGATTGTGAAGTATCACACACAAACATGCTTCAGTTCTTTTTCTTCGTTTAGATTTTCTCTCCCTGTGGGCTAGCTTGTCTTCTCCTCGGAGGCTTGCCACTGACGTGACAAAGAGTGCTCTACAGGGGAGGAATCTTTAGAAACACAGAAATTAGAGATGGAAAATTCCTCTGTAAAAGATCAACTAGCCCACTGTGCTTGGTAGGCCAAGGGATAAACACTAGTGTTTTGCTTACTTAAAATACTGCAAGAAGTCTCCCAGAGCAACTGCTCCACCAGGCAGTGGATCTTACAGCCAAGCCATTGTAACGGTACTCATCCTAATCTTTTTGCGTCATTCCATCCTAGTTTCTCCTTTCTCACAATGATAATGCTCTCACTCCTGCAAACCTAAATAGATGTTCTCCCACAGTGCCTACTTTTTGTCACCTTGTGTCCTACATGCCACGCACAGCTGTATTTAGTTCTTTCAACTCATATGACAGTGTCTTTTAATCAATCCTCATCACTTCTACTTTTTTAAAATATTCATTCCTTTATGTTTGCTGATGCCTTTTTGATGAGAAGATGTTCAGGTCTGAATGCAGTATTCCAGGGGGTTTACACTACAATACCACTAACAGAGGCCTTTGTTACAGTTTGTTTATGAACTCTACTATCCCATTGTTTTCTTGTTTCTGTTTCCCCCCCCCCCCCCCCGTCATCTCAAATTACAGGCATGTCTAATTTACTGTCTGCTCTCCTGCTATTTTAGGTCTCTTTCAGTGTTACAGCTTCTGAGAATCCTTCTTCCTGATGAATAGCTGTGACTTGAATTATTTTTCACCAGATGTAATATAGCTGCATTTTTCCTTGTGGAATTACATTTTGCTTCCTGAATATCACTTGTGCCAAGAGGTTTGACTTGTAAAATTAATAGAATAATGTATCCTCAACCCCACAGCTTGGAGGTGTTTCTCTCCTTCCCCCTCCCCTCCCCAAGCTTGAAACCATAAAGATGAGTATTAAAAGGCAACTAAAGAAAAAAAATTTTTTTTTTGTTCTCTTGCAGGAGTTGTTTAAGCTTCATAACATCACTGATACATGGAATTTTCTCACTACAGTCCTGAGAGAAAGGTGAACCGTATTGTTAAATAATTTGCAGAGTGTCACTGAGGACTGCCAGACTTGTGGTCCTCGCTATCTGAGCTGGGAGAGGAGGTTGCTGCTCCCAGCTTATCCCCAGCCGTCCGCCCCACGCTCCTGGTAAGAATCTGCAAGGTAACTTCAAGTGTAGCTACTGCCTAATTCTTTGCTGTCAAAATAATCCACTTTAGTCGAAGTCAATTTTTTCTCGCTTGTTTGCCTGCTCTCTCTCTCTCTTTGGACAGCAGGAGTAAATGCATGCCATCCGAGCAGATGGAAAGGGAAAGAGATCTTTGGTGGGTAAGAGAAGAATAACCCAAAGGACGGTGACATCTCAGCGTGGTTCAGCTGCACCCCTCAGCTCTCTGAAAATTAGTGCGAGAATCAGGAATGCTTTTCAGAAGCGATGACTCTCCTCATTGCCCTCCTCACAGACCACACTGTGGGTCTTTTCCCAGAGCTCATTTCTGGGAAGCACATGATGCTGGAGACCTGTCAGATCACACAGCCAAAGGAAAGGCGATGTGTTGTGGATTCATCGCACCATCAAGAGCATCATAAAGAAAACCAATAAAAGGTCACATCTGTTAGTCACAGCTCTTGTGGTTTGGATCTTATAGAACATCAGGCCGTGTGTGTGCTCAGGGCTGTCTTGCTCTGGAGTGTGCTGCAGGGAGCACGTGTGGCATTGAGGCAGAGTGTCAAAAACAAAATTAAGGCTGTAGCTATTTTTCACGTATCCGTTCATTCTGCAAATGTCTGCAGCAGCATCACTGATGTTGCCGATTTACCTGTTTCTCAGTTCTCTGAGATGATGCTGTAGACTTGAACAAGGCCACAGAAGAGTCGATCCCTCTCACACAGCGCGCCAGGCAGTCCATTTGCACCACGTATTGGCTTCAGTGCTGAGAGCACATGTCTGTAAATTATCACTTGTCTGTGTAAGGCAAGGAGCATTGTTTGGGAACCATATTCTCCTTTTTTTTTTTTTTTTTCTCTAACCAAAGCTAAAAGGGAAAAAGAAGCTATTAAAGGTTATTTTTCTCATCTGTCAACCTAAACATAACTCTTGTCTCTTCAGATCCCTTTCACTGTAGCCCCTATTCCACTCAGGTAAGCTTTAGGGCAAGATTTACCTTACTTAACTTTGAAAGCTGGGTGGGTTTTGCATAATCCCAGATAGCTAAAGTTAGGTAAAATGAATCCCACCTAAGTCTTTTACCTCTCTCTTCTGGGTTAATGTTTCTAATTGTCTTTCTTCTCTTGCTGTATATTAAAGTCCTCCCAGTCCATATGCTCCTGCACAGGAATCACTGGCAGCCCTCGCTCCCAGTGACAAGGACTCTTTCCTCTCCGCAGAAGCCTCGCTTCTTCCTAATGAGGAAATCAAAGAGGACCTCCCCCTTCCTCCCGGTGCAGGGGTCTTTTCAGCTCTTTCCTCCCTCTTCTCCCACAAGTGGGAGCCCAGCCGTGCACCAGGATGGGCACAGTCAGCCCCCGTCGTGGCAGCGATGCCCCTGGGTGACGGCCCTGCAGCTAGAACCGCAGGGGCATGGCAAACAGCTTCCCCTCCCCTCCGTAAGCCCAGAGTTCCACAGCTCCGCGCACGCGGGTAGCTGTTCCACACCTGGAACACATCCTCAGGTTTTGGTTCACAGCCGTGTGACTTCAGATCACCGTTCTCTTCACCTGCAAACTCCTCAGGATCTCTGCTGGCGGGACCCACGGAGAACAATTCAGCTAGGGTAAATCGCATCCTTGCCGCTGCAGCCCACGTCCCCGGAGTGGCAGCCACCTCACGGCTGCGTCGTGACCCACGGATTGAGACCACCGCTCAAACTGCACTTCAGCAACGAAACTGAAACTGAAAAAAAAAAAAAAACAAAAAACAAAACATAACCGCTGGCTGGAAAAGCCAGTGCAGAATGATTGGCAATACGCACTTCTAATCGTTGGTAGATTAACAGATGCGCTAAAATGTGACGTGCTGGGCAGGTATCAACCCTCGCCACGTGCCGCATCAGTCTGGGACAGGAAACGTGTTTTTGTGTGTGCTCACCCCAAGTCACGCCAGCAGGCCCCAGGCACTGATTTCAAGTTCATAGCAGTAAATCCTATTTGTGTAACCAGGAGTAGCAATGGTAAGCTTCGCGGTGCAGCTTCGTTTTGCACATCTAGAGAGAGAAAAGGAGGAAGGGGGACAAGGCAACACCTCTCCTACGAACACACTTGGGGAGGCAGCCCCCGCTCGGCCCGGCCCTGCCCGGCCTTTTGTCTCTGCTGGGAGGAGCCAGCGGAGAGGCCGGTTGTGAAAAATAAAGGCTGGCCGGCAGCCAGGAAGTGTAAAATCCTGGCGGGCTGGTGGCGAATTTCGCCAGATCGCGGCGCGGCGCGGAGCGGCGGGGCCCGGCCCGGCCCGGCACCCACCCGCGGTGGGGTGAGTGCGGGGGGGCGCGGGCGGGCGCCGGGCCCTGCCCGGAGCGGGACTGTGTGTGTGTGTGGGGGGGTGCCCATGGGGGTGCTGCCCGTGTGGGGTGCCCATGGGGGTGCCGTCCGTGTGGGGTGCCGCCCGTGTGGGGTGCCGCCCGTGTGGGTTGCTGCCTGTGTGGGGTGCCCATGGGGGTGCTGCCCGTGGGGGGTGCTGCCCGTGTGGGGTGCTGCCTGTGTGGGGTGCCCATGGGGGTGCCGCCCGTGTGGAGTGCTGCCTGTGTGGGGTGCCCATGGGGGTGCCGCCCGTGTGGGGTGCCGCCCGTGTGGGGTGCCGTGGGGCGGGCGGGCCCCTTTCCCGGGCCGGGCTGAGCCGGCTCCCCGCGCCCGGCGGTGCCGCTGAAGCCAAGCGCCGGCATAAAGCCTGGGGTAAGTTCTCGCTTTAAACATATTAAAAATAGACCCTCCGGCTCCGCCGCGCTGCTGAGTGAGTCATTTCCAAACCAAGTGCCTCGGTCTGACTCTTCCCCCCGGGAGACACGATAATTCTGAAACCGGGGGTGAACGGGGAGAGGTTTTTCTCCCTTCTTCCTCTAAATAAATTGAATTAGCACGTAGCCGCTGGGAGACGACAGCCGTGAGCAGCAGGCGGCCCGCTGAACGAGGTGAAGTGCTGCTCCATCCCTCTCTCCCCAAACAGGGCCCTCTCCCCGCGCTGCCCCACCAGCGCCCAGAGCCCCTCTCGCTGCCCCAGCAGCATGCCCACCGCTTCCCATTTTCGTGGACATAATCTACTTTTCGGTTCCTTCAGCTTCCAAACCCGTTCCCCGCCGGACACCAGCCACAGCCGTCACCCCTCATCACCGCTCCTGGCTGCCTGTACTGAAAAGAATAGCCCAAAGCACAGCTATTTTTTTTTTTTTTTTTTTTTTCCCCCCCTGCCTTTTCCAGTCATATGATGATTTGTTCATGTAAGTGGGCTGTCTCAACTAGAGAGATTTTTTTGTTTGTCAGCAACAAGTGCTGAGTGTATTTATAAGCCGTGCTGCAATTTTGTGGTGTGAAAGCTTTCAGTTATGCAGAACTCTCCAGCACCTGGATCACTGTGCAGGAGCAGTTTACATCTTGCATAGAGTGCCATATGTGCACACATATTTAATATATATACTTACGGATCTCACTTCACACCGAGGCAGCATGCACCAGACACAGAAGCTGATGTGTAGGCTATGTAGTTGTTTTCTAAAACAGATGGCCACCGTCCAACTGATCAGTAGTCCCCAATGGTACAGATAGAGCAGTGGAGACAATATATTGTTCTCTCCTGATAAGCTGACTTTCCTGAAACTGGGAAACCACGTAGCTAGGTGTAAAATCCTGTCCTCTGACCCCTGCGAAGAGCTCTGTTAGCATTTTGTCAACAAAAAATGACCCGTAACCGAAGATAACGTGCAGTGAGGCATGCCAGCTATTTTACAGCCATGTGGAGGTTGTTAGGTTTGAGAACATGATCTGTGGTAGCTACCCAAATCTGATGGCATTTCTGTGTAGGTAAGTGGAGAATCATGATGTAAAAGCACTTGCATTCTTTTACTGTTTAGATTCAGTTTCTCCTATTAAAGCTATTTATATCTTTTACAGCCAAAAGAGACCATTGTGATTGACTGACCTTTCATGTAGGTTGCAGAGTGCTGAGAGATTCCCACAGAAGGTTTGCCACTTCTCTTTTAGCTGTAACACGTAAGAGATCCATGAACTTAAAAGTGCTACCGAAGTACTGAACTAAAAAAAGAAAATGGGAATATCTTGTGTTCCAAAACACAAGAAAAATCAGACTTCACATCCCAAGTAAATGAAGATTTCACAGTAATCTAAGACAATGCACGCTCTTCATACACAGTTGTGTGGCCAACACACATTGGCCATAGGCAGCGCATGGTATTCTTGCTTAGATTTTAGTGCTGTGGACTTCTCTAACGTATCGGAGGGAGGAAAATTCTTGGGCTTGGGTCAAAAACCAGCTGCTTTTTGATGAAGCTAGGAAGAAACTGTTCCAGAGGCAGATTATTCTGTGGTTGTCTCTGATGGGGGTGCCCTGAATCTCTGATTGAAGTAGCTGTCAAGTCAAGTTCGATGCGTTGCACCGGGTTCTGCATGGGTGGTGTCTGCAAGTTGGTGGTGCCGGGGGCGGGCTGGGGAGGTCAAGCACACTCAAGCCCATATGGGAATCTCTCTTGCTATGTCAATTTAATAGCAATATTTCCTTCTGGGAGTTTTACAGCAGAGTTAAGGTGACAGTTTTGCATTTGTCTTCAGGCTTCAAGATAAAATTCTTTGTAATTAGTTTTACGCAGCGTGTTTGTGGGCTGTCTGATGTCAGCTGAGGCTCTGATAAGACTTCCAGTGTTCCCTTTCAAAGTTCATCTGGAACACAGGTAGTGCTTACCAGCTTCTCAATCCCTTTTGGAAGCATTTAAATTCCTTAAATTTCCAGCAGCCAAAGACACAGAATAAGTGAGGTATTTAACCTTTTGGTTGAGAAATAAGCTTATTTTCTTATTGAAAAAGTGTAGGAATGGGACTTGAATGCATCATCCAGGGCTTAGAAGTATCAGGCAAATAAATACAAGGATTATATCCTTTTTGTAACTCATTTTCAAAGAGTTCAGTTTTTGTATGTGACTTCTCTAGGCACCTGTAGTGTTTGTGTTTTTTTTTTTTCCCCATAATGTAGGGCCTTTTGTACTCATTGTTTCTGTTGATGTGAATTCAAGCATAAATATACACTGACCAAATATGTGCTGGGTTCCAGGGCTTATTCAGTAGGGCATAACAGCCCGTTCCTGCTACTACATGAGATGGGGCTAAGTGCAACTCAGAGGATGGAAGATTGTGCTGAGGGTTTTAGCAAAAACATGGTTATACCAGAGCTGGCTGAGGGTGAGCTGTTATGAATAAGCAGGCTATTTAACTGCCATGTTTTGTAGCCCCAGGTTAAAAATGTGGGGTATACTTATGTTTTTAATAACAACATCATAGGAATGTGAAAATGAAAAACAGGAGTAAATATGAAGGTCAGGAAAGCACAAAGATGTCATTCTAGCTGCGGCAGAGATAGTTCCTCAAATAATTGCAGTTGCTGAGGTTTTGTTTGATTTTGATGAAGTGTGTCCTGCATGCTTTCTGATTAGCATTCCTAGAAAATTAAACATGTCATTACATTTAGATTGATAGGACTTTTTTGTTTCTGAAACGGAGTTCTCCCCCCATTCCATGCTTCTGCCTGGCATCTTTAAGAAAGCATCCCTGCGGCTCTCCCGTGTCTGTTCCCCTCTTGTAACTTCATGAATTAGTTTGTGAATTCCACCACATTTGACCAAGAAAAGAAAGGTCGGAAAGAATAAGGTTTCTCTGAGCTCTGTGAAAATGTTTTTAGAGCCCATGCTGGAGGAAGAACTCTTGGTTGAAGTAATCCCCTCCTGCACATGTGAAATTCAGAAGGGAGCGTGATGTGGGAGAGCAGGGCTGTTTTAGTTCTGCTGCTCATATAACTGCGGAATATGAAAAGTTTACTTGTTGAACAGCTATGGCTTTTATTCCTTCTAAATACAAGCCAACAATTTCTCTGTATGCTAAGCAAAACTGCTGCGATCTCTTCAGACTGTTCAATGTACTTAGTAGTTTGTTTTGAATGAGTTAATACATGTATTTATTTTGCAGCAGATGCTGCTTGGGAGTTATTTGAAACAGGTTGAAGCTGCTAAGTTAGTTTCTGGGTTTGGAAACACATTTTTCTACATCAAAAAGCTTGATGGCTTACTCATACTTGTGTCATTCAAGTGATACATTCCTGGCCTGCTTTGCTCCAGTAAGGATGCGCTTACTAGTGCATCTATTAAATGCTATTCCCAACAGTGGAAGGTAATAGCTATTTATGTGTGTGGTATCTGTTTTTCTTTTCTTCATGCTATGGCTTGTTCCCATATAGCTGTACTGATTAAAAGTCATTCTGTTAATCAACAGAGTTTAAGACCGGTAGGCTTGGGAGTAACATAGGCCACTGAACTGGGGGCCTGAGCTCCTTGGAGTGCTACTTTGCTGTTAAATCAGTTGTGATTTTTAGAGTGTAACAGCTTGAGTAAAACCTTGCTATAGAATTGGGGACAGAGCAATGATGATTTTAACTCTGCTGTCTGAAGCAAGCTACGTCTTGGTGGGTAAAACTCAGAAGAGGGATGCAGGTAAACTTGCTGCTTAAAAAATCTGTGCTGGCTGCCGTGGATTAGGACAGCGCTGCACTGAGTTCGTTTTGAAAGGATGGTTACTGTGGCTGTCGTAGATACAACTTTATGGAATGCCTAAGAAACCTTAGGGCTTTCAGTTAATCAGGAAATGGTGATTTATCTCCACTTCCCCCCTCTTATCCCTTCCTCCTCTCTATTGAATGGGTTCTTATTTAACCGAATAGGTAAGTGTCCAATCCAGTCCATCAGTTTTATGATTCTGAAACTCCACTGTGGTTTTGCTTCTTGCCTTACATAGCCAGGTTCTTGGTGTGGTGGCTGCTTATACAGGGAATACAATTTGTTTCAACCAGATTGTATCAGTTAAGTGCATCTAACTCAAATTTGTCTCTAGCTTCACACTGATCAGCTAAGTGATTCTAATGAGGTATTCTCCTCTATTCTCCACCCAGGCATTTCAGAGTGTTTTGCAAACATGTGGCGCCTTTTAATAGCCATAACGATTTTCTCCGTGTTTGAATGATGTGAGTCCAAAGAATTAAGTAATGTTTTGTAAATAACACAGAAAACCTGTGGTAGAGAAGAAAATAACTTTGTTGTCTTAGATGCTACTCCTATATTACAAAGTACATATTTTTCTGTATGTTCTTTACTATGACCTAATATCTTTAGTTCACATTGAACTGGCTCGCTCTGTGCCATTACTGATTTCTTACATTTTTAAATGAGGAATTCTACTATCATGTATATAGATGTGAAGTAGCAG